TGGTGAGGGGAGTTTAACCAGTTTAACTCCTGTTCCTGTGCTGCTTCAGAACACTTTTTTTTTCCCCCATGTTTTTTCTGGTTTGGTTGGATAATAAGTTCTGCTGTGCTCTTCTCTGTACAGTTGCTGAGAACTTGTGCAGATCTCTTCCGGCTGGTTCCCTTCCTGGTGTTTGTCATCGTCCCCTTCATGGAATTTCTGCTGCCTGTATTCTTGAAAATCTGAAATGATGTGTGGTGAGGGGAGTTTAACCAGTTTAACCCCTGTTTCTGTGCTACAGTTGCTGAGAACTTGTGCAGATCTCTTCCGGCTGGTTCCCTTCCTGGTGTTTGTCATCGTCCCCTTCATGGAATTTCTGCTGCCTGTATTCTTGAAACTCTTTCCTGAAATGCTGCCCTCGACGTTTGAGACAGAGTCCAAAAAGGTTTGTGTCCCTCCTGAAGGCATGGAGTGTTAGAACATCTGTACAGCTGCCTATAGTCCTGCTGCTGTGAGTGAGCACAGCCTCACACTCAGGTCTAGCTCAGATGTTTTGAGCTTACTCAGCACAGCAGAGTTTGGAGATTGAACCCTAAGCAGTGATCCATAGGGAAGCACATGCAGTTTCATGTTCTACCAGAGCCTCTTTGCTTCCAGCACTGAAGCCTTGTTTCGTCTCTTTCCCAGACTCCCCTCCCTTTGGGTTTTCAAGGGGAATTTCTAATTATGTTTTGTTTCCTAAACGAAGGAAGAAAAGCAGAAAAAGAAGTTAAACGCAAAGCTGGAGTTAGCAAAGTTCTTACAGGAGACCATTGCAGAGATGGCCAAGAGGAACAAAGCAGACACAGGACAAGGAAAACAGTTCTCCTTGTACGTGCAGCAGGTACAATGGGCTGTGCTGGGGAAGGCAGCGATGGTTTACAGCAGCTGGTGTGGGCAGGGAGCACAGGATTTGTACAGAGACAGCAGAGGGTGTGACAGCACAGAGCTCTGCTGCCGCTTTGGCCTTTGAAGTACCTCTTTCTGCTTCCACTGAGAGGCAGGGGTACCAGAGTGAGAAACAGGAGGGGCTTCACCTCGCAGGAGGAAGAGGACTCCCGAACTGGTTGGGTTTCTGGTTGGGTTTGGCTCTTGCCCTGATGCCTCTGCCCTGTTCAGGTTCGCCAGGCGGGCCAGCCGCCCAGCACGCAGCAGATCGTCGGCTTCTCCCGGCTCTTCCAGGACGAGCTGGCCCTGGAGCACCTGGAGCAGCCACAGCTCGTGGCCCTCTGCAGGCTGCTGGAGCTGCAGCCCCTGGGCACCAACAACCTGCTCCGCTGCCAGCTGCTGCTGCGCCTCAGAACCACCAGGGCCGACGATGAAGTGAGTTGAGGCCGGGGCAGGTGCAGCTGCGGGGTGGGACCAGGCTCTGCCCACCCCCCAGCGTGAAGCTGAGCACTGATGGGAGCTGGGTTCTTCTCCCCTGAGACAGCAGAAGGAGAGTGCCTCTCCCTGCACCCTCGCAGACCCTGGCGAGCGTGGCCCTGCAGATGCTGTCACTGCTTACAACACCCCTCTGTTTGTGTTCTGCAGTCCAAATAACTTGTTAAAAAGGGAGGTTCCAGTTCTGGAATCAGTATCGGATGAAAACACCAGATTTTATCCAAGTGAGTTCAGTACAGGTCTATATTACTAGTTTATGAAGTGGCTGGATTTATTTAGCCTGGAGAAGGGGATCTGCATGCTGTAGTGTAGTGAAAGGACAAGTGACCTGCACAGGTTGTAAGCTGCAGCCAGGGAAATTACAACTTGATACCAAAAATAAATTAAAGTGGATGGATGGGTAAACAGTGGAACAGGTTGTCTGGGGTGGTGAAGGCCCTTGAGATGCTCAAAGCATAAATGGAAGAGGCTCAGCAGTGTAAAGGAACATTTAAGTTAAGCCTCTTTTGAACAGGAGACATCCAGAAGTCCCTTCCAGCCTATGTTTTAGGCTTGTGTAGGGACTGTAATTGAAATGGTGTTAGGAATCCTGTTATGGTATGGAGGAAAGACCAGAAAACTCCATGCTAGTCAGTGAAAGGCATGTGCAGCTGCCCACAAGGTCAGCTTTAAAACCTGCAAATTTGACAGCTCTTGGGCCACCTACCTGCGAGTGAGTGCTTCAAACCTGTAGGATCACCTGTGAAAGCAAAATCCTCAGTACTTGGGGGAAAACAAAATACTTTGGATCAAAGTTTTGCATTCTCTGTAGCTGAAGACTGTCAGTGTTCAAGGACAGAAGGAATTCTTTTCGAAGTCAGTTCTGTCTCAGCTTTGTGTTGCTGTGGCTTCACGTTTACCTGAACAGACATTCCTTTGGGCTCACGTTCATTAAGCCCACCAGGGTTTTGGCTTTCTGTGTGCCTCAGTAGGAACATTGCTTTTCATTTCAGATGATTGCCAAGGAAGGAGTGAATGGCCTGAGCGTGTCGGAGCTGCAGAGCGCGTGCCGAGCCAGGGGGATGAGGTCCTTGGGTCTCTCAGAGGAGCAGCTGAAGGAGCAGCTCCAACAGGTGAGTACCCACTGCTGGGGTCTCATCTAACAGGGTTCTGCTGGGGCAGCACGGTGTGCTGTGTGCACACAGCAGGCAGGTCCTCTGAGGGTGCCTGCAAGCCTTCCTAGAGCTCCTCACCTGCATAGCTGAGCTGTGAGGCATGAAGCATCCGGGCTATGTCTTAGACTAAAGAGAAAACCAAACAGCATCAGGGCCAGCTAGAAGTAAGATGAAGTGTGGGGAGGTGGCGTATGTTTAAGCTTCTAAAGTAGCCAAGACTTGTAGTAGGGCCAACACTCATCTTTTCTAAGTATTCCAACAGATTACAGGTACTGCTGTGGGTGCTGTACTGCAGGTAAGATGCAGAGAATTTGAAGTATTTGGCTTCTGCTGTTGGCTGCTTGTCTGTAGTGTTGTTGGTTCCTCACTAGTAGCTGGAAACTTCTCCTCCAGTGTGTATTCCATATGGTATTCCCAACTCTTCATAATGATTTCTTCTCATTCTCAAACCCAAGATAGCTTTAAGCTCTTTAAGGACAAAGAGTGTTATGTGAATAAGTACTGACTTAGAGCCAATGTGAAATAACTTCTTCTGTTTTCCCCTAACAGTGGCTGGATCTGCATTTAAAAGAGAATGTTCCACCCTCTCTGCTCCTGCTTTCCCGTGCCTTGTACTTGATAGAGGTAAAGCCACAAACCACTCCAGTTCCACAGAACAAGGTGAGGTGTCTGAATGAAACTTTCAGGTTAATAGTTTAACCATTACCTCTTATAAAAATGAAGCACTGTGACATGAATCTTGTTCTTGGATCCACCAAGTAGACTGAAGGTGTAACTGCTGAACATCTGTTCTGTAGATGGGTGAGACTGCTGCAGGGGTGACATCTGTTCTTGAAGGTCAGGAGACCCTGGTGGATCCTGCCCCCAGTCTACAGGGAAGAAAGGTTAGAAAAGAGTCTGCAAGAGGAAAAGCAGTGTGCAGTGCTGTCATCTGTGGGGAGAGCATGTGAACAGAGCCAGGCAGAGCCCAGTGCTGGACACCATGCCCAGAGCATGTGAGCAGTGTGTGTTCTTGCCCGAGTGTCTGACCTAGGAGAGGAGGGAAGGGCACAGGATCTGCTGTGGCACCTCTCCTGTCCCTGGAGACAGCTGGTTATTCAGCACCACCATACTGGCTTCCAGCAGAGAGGCACCCACAAGCTTCTCAGCTGTTTTAGTCACATAGACACTTCAGTGCAGGTATGTTCAGATCAGAGAAGCCAGTAAAAGGTGACTTGTTTTCAGCTCTCCTAGTGAACTTGGGCTGAGTCACCCAGGACAAAAAGAGACAAAATACCTAGAGTAACAAAGCCAGAGAATATAGTTCCCAGCACAAGGCTGAAATGAGTTCCTTAGATTCGTCCAAGCTGATAAAAGCAGCAACAGAAATGAAAGTAGAATATTGTGTCAACTGCTAGAAGTATTTCCAAATAGCTCTGTTAAATTGCACAGGGGAAATGGTGGAAATGCCCACACAGATCTTTCACAAACACACACTGCAGGGCACAGCCATGCTCAGGAAGGAGAAGGGACTGTACAGGGTGCAGCTAGAGCTTTGTTTTCTGAGAGGGTTCTGTGACTTAAAGCTCCTTTTTCCTTAAAAGAATGAAGAGTTTGTGTCCCAGCCAACAGAGAAAGTGCTGGTCTCAGGAGTGTCAGCAAAGCCTCCCCCACAAGAGGTAAGCTGCTCAAAGTTCTCACCCTTCCCAGAGGAGATGGTTCTTCCCATGGCTTACAGACAGGCTGTGGAAATGGCAAATGTGGGATTAAAGGAGCAGCTGGAGAACTTGGGCTGTTAAATGCAAAAATACCAAACGTGACTGAACAACTGCAGTACCCTGGGGAGGGTGGCAGAGCAGGGGGGAGTCACCAGTGTGTCCTTGTACTCTTGGAGCCCTGGGAGAGACCAGCCTTCTGTCAGAGCCACAGCAGTGTCAGGTGCTGTGGTGGGTCTGTAAAACATCTCTGCAGTGACTTGCCTTTCTTTTGCCTGCTTTTTTGTTGTGACTGATTTCACTTGACTCTGCACACATCCGTGGTGTCCACACTTAAGGCAAGTTTGGGAGTCCAGGCTGACTTCCATCAACAGAATGCTCCTTCATCCTGAAGAACTTTGTCCTTAGTGGGCTGTGATTCTCCAGAGCAGCTTCCCCTAGTGAATGGGAACGGTTTTGAATTTCAAAATGCATTTGTACTGGTACTGCCTAAAATCTGCAACTTTCTCTTGCCCTTAGACTAAACTGGAAGCTCCTCAGAGCAGCGAGGCCAACGGTGCCTAGCCTGCAGCCAGTGAGGATGGCCTAGTAGTGTGAGAGAAGAGCTTCATCTCTGCACCTCCTGAGAAGGGAAGAGTGATTTTCCAGGAGGCCACTTTACACAAAGTGTTGGCAGCTTTCAGGGCCCCTCTGCCTGTCCCAGGCCATGCTGCAGCTCTGGGTGGCACTGGTGTCTCATCTGTGCTGGATCCACGACCACACTGCTTAAACTGGTGTTGTAAATGTGTCAATAGTGCTGCTGCTGTCTGTGCTGTCACTGCTGTGGTTGAACTCACTGCTCAGGAACACTTCAGAACCTGGTGGGCAGAGCAGGGTGGTGAGGAGGACAGCTCCCACCACACGAGCGTTGGCACCCGTTGGGAAGGGCTGCAGTGGGTGCCCAGCACTGGCACAGAGGGCAGAGATTGGCATTTGTAGTGTCCTGGGAGGCAGCACCCTGGGGAAACATTTCCCAAGACTGATGTAAGAGATCAGACATCAGCAAGTGCTCCCCAACATACTCTTCTTCCCAAAGTCGTTCCTCACACACTCCAGTGCTGACTGTGGTTTTGGTACAATCTACAAGAGGATACTGCAAAGCTGATTTTAGCATTTGTGAACCTTTTTTATACTTTGTCCTATGTAAATTCTCAGAAATTACTCACATTATGGATTTTATATATGTATATTTATACTGACTGTAAAATTAAAGTTAGACTTGGTGCTAAGCAGAATGAAATGTCTTTCCTAGAGGTCAGGCAGCCCTTGGAGCAATCTGACTCTGTAAAGGCCAGTGATGTCAGGACCTTAAGGGTGTGGTTGGGGCTGTGATGGGCAGTGGCACAGTACTGTGCTGTCTGTTCCATCCCCACACCCTGCCTCCCACCACCAGCCTGAGCCCAGTGTTCACATTTAACCAGTGCTCAGTAAACAAGACCAAATGTCATTTCAGTAAAATAACCCCTGGCTGAGGTGTCACTCCTGCCTCTGTGGAGCACAGTGGGGTGTTGCTGGTGGCCATTGCTTTGCTGGCTGAGCAGCAGAAGCCTTTGGCTGCTCCTCTGCTTGACAGTGGCCTTGTCCCCTGGGTAGCACCAGCAGCTGCTGTCATTCAGAGCTGTGACCCAACAGCATCTGCAGAGCCTGCTGTGTCTAGAACACTTCACCCCTAAAGAGCCAAGAGTGAATGTTCAGGGCAAGATGTCACTGGTGCTGCTCACCGAGATTGACATGCAGAGGTAAGAGAATGCAGGTAATTGCTGTGTTTTGGCTAAAGCATGTAAAGAGCAAGTGGGGTTCCAGAATTCGAGGCAAGTGGGAGGAGCAATGAGGGACAAGTCTCCCTGCTCTGGAACACAGACCCAGCTGCAGAGCCAGCCTAGAGTTCACTGAGGCCGTGTCAAAGTGAGAACGTGGCAGGCAGGAGGAACCTCAGCCTTGCAGAGGAGGGGAACGGGCCGAGTGTGTCTGGG